TAGCAACTAATGAAGTCTACAGTCGTATCAAAAATTCCGTAAAGGTAGCCTTCGGCTCCACTGCTCTTTTGAACTTTTGCTGCTTTTGTGCTCGTACTATTTCTTCTCAATGTATGTACTGGTGTGTGTATGTATGCGTGCGTGCGTGCGTACCAACATTTCTGCGGTCATAAGCAATAACCGCCTAATTGAATTGTAATGTTAGCCTTATGGGAGACGAAAACATTTTCGCCTATAACTTTTTAAATAGCCTAGCTGGCGAGATAGGGAAATCACGTATGCATGGAATAGGAGTTGAAGAATACGCTAGCATATATAACTCCATTATTTCTTAAGTCGACTTAGGCGTTTATTGCTTATGACCACATATTTATGGGGAAAGTGGTATTAAGAGGTAGCGTGTGGATGCGACGATTGCTTGTAATGCACTCAAAGTAATTTCCCCTACTCATCATCCAAAACGAAAATCCATGTCTGTATTAATTTTTAATTATTGCTATCCTTTTACATTTAGTTGCAAAATGCATACTCACATACATACATGGAGACGCAAATATTAATGAATACAAACAATTTGGCTGGTGAAAAATAGAAAATGAAAAAAATATTATGTATTTTAATTGGAAACAACCAAAATTAATAAATAGACACTATAGTTGTAACATATAGATTTGAACCAAATTAGTATAAGTCCCTAGCATATTTGACCTAGCAGTAAGCGTATATTTAAGTTTTCGTTAAAATATATATTAACATATATTTTTCAATACCAAAACAAAAAAGAGTAACTTAATATGTTTGTCCACATTTTCAATGACATATAGTTTTATATTTATTTTCTTAACAAACGACATTCTATCACTGCTTCAACCTATCTGGGCGTTATTAACGGATTCTTATGTATATTTGTAGATGCTGGCACATATATGGATACATCGAACCCCTTGGCCCCACCAATGGGCGGAGCTGGTGGCGCAGTACTTTGGCCAGCGCCAGAAACCAAACATGAAATCGATTCAGGTATGATGCCGCCACCAATCACTACACAAATGCCGATGGGCGTGCGACGCCCTTCATTGCCCACAGCCACACCCATGCTGACAGATCAACAGTTGGCCCATCTAAATGTTGCCGAAACACTCAAGACTGAGCTGATCGACGAAACGTCGCAAAGTTCTTTGGCTGAGTCGATACAGCCGACAGATGCCGTTATGGCCAATTGTGGCGCACCCATCAGTCCCACAGCTGCCATGCAGTTTCACTCACACTATGACCGCAAAACTAGCATGGACACAATGATGTATGATTCGAACAGCATGCCGGCCTTTCCAGTACCGCCGCCACCTTCCGTAGCAGCTGCTGTTGAGTTGGCCGTCAAGACGGAAATCGCTAAAGTTGTGGCACAGCAACAGCAGGCAGTCGCAGTGGACAAATTCATCACCGATTTGACCAAATCCACTGCAGTGGCAGACGACCCGAATGTGGCCGCCGTGGTTGCTGCAGCGGCTGCGGAGGAGTCGCTTTTCGGTGGCGTTGGTGGTGTTAATAGCGCCGTTGGTCCGGCCATTGATCATCCGTTCGGTGACATTATGCAGCAGGCAAATGCACAGCAACAGCCTCCTGTACTCGAACGCAGCTTATCCATATCGAGCAACTCCTCCTCTCACTCCAACAGCTCGAGCGGTTCTTCGCCACACAACAGCTTGACAGCTACACTTTCGGTATCGCCGAATAATTCGCTGAATGGTCATAATTCTCCCATCACCCAGGATATTATATTGAACTCGGAACCCGCCGCTGTGCTGAATGCTATGCCAATGCAACAACTCTTGCCCGCTCCACTGGGTGGCAACAGCGCTGCAGCCGTTTCAGCCAACGCAGTGGTCGAAGCTGCCGTTGCCGTTCCAGGTGGAACGACCACTGGCGCAGCAGTCGCCGATCCCAATAGTATCTCCACTGAAATGATCATGAATCCCGCAGTTTCACCGTCCACTATTTTGTGTTCAGCTAATGGTGCTGCCACTGCGGTGGTGCCGAATATCATGGCGCCACACCAAGTCACCATGGCCAATTCGATTTTGAATGACATTGCAATGCAGCCGCAGCCAACTCAACAAGATGCTGCCGTGGCAGCGCTTGCGCTCAGCAATATTATAATGAGTCCGCCGAATACGGCTGCTGCGGTGGTTGATAATGTTGCCAATGCGGAACAGGCAGCTGAACAACCTGTGACTGTGGCAACATCCACTGCTGTCAGTAATATGATTATTAAAGCTGCGGCCGATTTAATATCTAATCAGGAGCAACAACAACATCATCAGCAGCAACAACAACATCACCAGCAGCAACAACAACACCAACACCGACAGCAGCAACATCGCCTTCAGCAACAGCATCAGCAGCAGCAGCAGCAACTTCATCATCAACAACAACAACAGCAGCAGCAACAGTCACCGCAAGCATTGATGAATGGCGCGGCAGCAGCAGCTGCAGCAGCAGCGGCGGCGGCAGCAGCAGCAGCAGCAGCCTCAAATGCCAATACAAGTCCCTTAGTTAACTTGCTTTTAAACCACCCAGACGTGTCGCCATCTGCAGCAGTCGCGGCAGCAGCAGCGGTCAATGAAGTTCAGTCACAATTCTCTTTGGGCATGTAAGTGTCACTTATCTATAATTTATACCCTACTACAATTTTTGAATATGTATGCTTATTCATCATTCTCTCTCTGTTCCACCACAGTCCTCCCACAACGCCACAGGAATCTCTCATCGTCGCATTGGCCACGGAAAATTCTATGCAAAAATCAGTAGCAGCCGCTGCCGTGACTACAAATGGTGCCATCGTTACTCAACAAACATCAGCTGCGGCGGCAGGCATTCATCCTGGCGCTGCGGTCGGACCTGTACCTCTTCAACCGCCTATTCCGCAAGAATTGACCACTATGTCAGATCAAGACTTGATTAGCTACATTAATCCAAGCACATTTGACCAAAGTGAGTATACATTTTTTGTGTTGATTTCTTGTTTGGTAATAATAATTGATCGACATATCTAAAGGGATATGGGTTTTGTTATAAAATATGTCATATTTTTATATAAAAAAATTCATGAGTTTTAAATAAACAAAGGGAAAACTGTGAGTACTGAGGATTAAGGGCTGCTATTCTCGACGGCTGAGTGGGAGATCGCCTCATCTCGGCTGCCGGTTCAAAAACCCTATCCCAGTGTATTGAATTTACATTGATATACGAAATTTTCACAATATATTATTATTTATTATATATTATTATTTATTATATACTATTATTTATTATATATTATTATTTATTATATATTATTATTTAGTAAGTTTGTCACCCTTTTATAAAGTTTTATTTATTATTTTTTCCTCTGCCAAATCACTTTCTGTCCCAAACTCATCATTTACCATTTTACCGTTTACCGTACCATTGTTTTTTTTTTTTAAAGCGAGTTTTTTCAGAGAGCAGAATTAAAAATCAAGAGTCGAATGGAGTAGATGTCCACATTTAATTTATTCATTACGGTTAAAAATTAACGATTTTGCAATGATCTAAAAATAAAAGTCTTTATATTCAACGGTTGTTTTTCGGTCCCTCATCTATGGTTTTAATCGTATGATGGCAATTTGCAGACTATTGTAAAATTTTGCGCCAGCTGCGCCATTTAGTTTTTGTTTAACAGCCATTGAAAGCAGACGACAACCTAGGGAATTTTAACGAAAATTGTAAAAAGGGATTTTCATGTGCTCATTAAGCATTATTTTTTGTGTGTAAAAATTCATTACCGAAACCATGGAAAGGCTTAATAAATACTATATGGATTCTGCACCATGTCGTTGTTGACCCCGCCGCACAGTGGTTTAGGTCCATACATTGTTTGGAGAAAATTAGAAGGAATAGGCGTAGGGCTTCAATTTTTCATATGTTACCTCTAACGTAGTGTTGGCAAAATGTTTATCTGATTAACGATTAAAACGTTAATCGCGATTGTCTCCAAACCAAATTTGACAAGGGATGACGGAAAATCGTTCCACATTACATCACACTCCTACCCTGTCGGAAACACCAACAACGAAAATGAGAATTAAATTAATTAATATTAGTCAACTGTACGATTAATGATTACAGATTAATTAATTTTAATCATTAATCATCAATCCAATTAAAAATAAAATCTGATTAATCTGTCTAGCTGACAGTTATAGTAATTATTTTGTGTTTTACGCTTATAAAAACACATAATATAAAAAAATATATAATTATTGTTATTAGTAATATTTAAACTGGGAACTTTTACAAACTAGCGCACATGTGCAGAGGAATATTAAAACCAAGTTTATAAATCGTCTGTTGGAATAGATCTTAATGAAAATTCGCACCAAATTGCTTAAACTGATGAGAAAAACCGACTTGGCCATACCCGATTAACTGGGCTTGGAAAATTCGAGCATAAATTAATTAATCACCAAACCGAATTAATCAAATTAAGGGTTAATGATTAAAAATTAATTATTTTAATCGCGGTTACGATTAACTGTTTAATCAGATTAAAATTAATCATGATTAACTGTAATCGGATTGTATTTAGTCGAATTAACTAATTAATTAAAAAATCCATCGATTAATATCAACACTTGCTCTAAGGACATAAATCAAGAAAAACCCCAAAAATGAGTGTGATCGATTTATTTTAAAGCATACCTCCCATACAAACCTAACCTCAAAAACGCTTTAAAAATGTCATTCAAAGGGCACCAATGAATGAAGGACTCCGAAATATCGTCCGTATATTAACAATAATGGAGTAAGTAAACATAAACAAAATTAGCAAAATCGATTTACTTTAACGCGTACCTCCCATACAAACCTAATCTCAAAAAGATTTTATTAAAAGCGCAGCGATGAATGCACGACTCCGAAACTTTGGCCATATATTTTTGATGATAACATAAACAAAAACCCTTAAAATGGCTGTAATCGGTTTATTTTTACTTAAACTTAAACAAGCTATTAAAAGGTATAGAAAAGTCTTCGTATTATACAAACTGCATACTTATGAGAATGGTGCCTCACGGTATGGTTTAAAAAACAGATGTTTTTTTACTCTATGCAGCATGCCACTTTTTTGTAAAAGTAGGAAAACAAATTTACTTAGCCAAGTATACATTTTTTCAATAACTCTTCTGAAAGGTTTGGATATTTATTTTTAAAGTTTTCGGTACACTTATGCTCTTCACGATTTTCGAATAAAAATCACTCTTTACAAAAAGAATTGCAGCTGGAATAGATTACATATTTCCTTACTAGTATAGAAGTAATTAGTATTATATCACAACAAAACGGTCGGAACAGAAAAAAAGATGTAGTCCATTGAATTAATAATTGACGAACAGCTGGGATAAAGTATTGATGTATTTAAATGTTAAGTGTCAGTTTAAGAATGTGATGTCCATAAAATAATTAATGTGATGTTATGTTATTATAAATATGTTAAGGTATGTTCGAAAAAAAATGTTTTTGTATACACGTTTGTTATGTTTTCTTGTAAAAATAAATAGACTCCCTGAGGAAGACACAATAATGTGTCGAAACGTGTAGTAGGCGGAAAAGAAAAACCAACGTTTTTGCTTTCAAATCAACGGTCGAAAAGCTCCATATATACAACTCTTATAATAGCCTTTAGTTTATAAGTGTTTTCATATGTTAAATTGATGTTCCTTTATAATTTTAACTACCAATGTCACAAACAATAGTTAATATTCAATAGTAAATAACTAGATGTGCAAAATGGACCATTCGGATTCCGCCTGCCCTACACCAATGATTGTGTGGTAAAAACTTAAAAATTTGGAAGCTGATTTCGTAACAAAAACCGTTTTATTATTTTGGTTTATTTATTTATTACTTGGTTTGACAAGTTATATCATTTTAGACCATATTGTTTCTACTGGATTTAGCATAGGCGAAGGTACAACTTATAATCTCAAAATCGTACAGTGAATATGAAATTTTCTGAACTTAAATTGGAAATTTCTGAATTTGAAATGAAAGCTGTCTGAACTTGAGTTGTATCTTTCTGAATTTGATTTATAACTTTCTGAATTTGAATAAAGGTTTCTAAATTTGAAATCGAAATTCTGAGTTTGAAATGTAACTTTCTGAATTTAAAATATAAATTCTGTATTCGAATTGCAACTTTCTGAATTTCAATTGTAACTTTCTCAATTTGAAGTGGAAATTCTGAGCTTGAATTGTAACTATCTGAATTTGAAATAGAATTTCTAAATATGAATTGCAACTTTCTGAACTAAAACTGAAAAAGGTGTAGTGATTTGTAATCATTTTTTTCTTTTTGCTGACGGATTTTGCACTTTTTTTCATTCGTAGCAAAATGTCAAACAACCAGTTTTCATAAATTGCACTTGTTATATACAGAAACCGTCAACAAAAAATTATCTATAGATACATAGTATAAAGGTAATCTCGAAAACTACTGAAAGGATTTTGACCAGATTTTCTCCAATACACTTTGTATCGATAGGAGAGTGACCTTTTTCATTTAGAATTTTAATAGGGTTGCCACCTGTTTAAAAAACTGTAAGATCCGCACGGTTCGCTGGATTACAAAAGCTGAGGTGTCAAATGAAAGGGAAGGGCCTCTAGAAAATTACAAAGGTTTTATTTTTTTGAATAGGGTTTCCACCTGTTGATAAAATTACCATATACAATCGTAATAAGCGTAGGCATCAATTCTGCACCGTCTCTGTCAAACGTAAAGACTTGGCTTCTAGATGTGCAATAACGGATTAATTTCCTGAGTAGGGTTGCCACCTAATAAAAAAGTTAAAAGATTTTCACCGTTCGTTGGATTACAAAATGAGATATCAAATGAATGGGCATGGCCTTGGCATGTAGAAAAACTTTATTTTATTTGGGTAGGGTTGCCACCTATTTAACATTTTTTATCTTCTATAAATAGTTTAAAAAAAAGTTGTGATTCTTAGAATGGATTTAGGCGAGATTTTTAAAGTATAATCTGTATCGATAGAAATATTATATTTAGTACTTTAAATTCCTATAGGGTTGCCAGCTGTCTAAAATATTATAAGATCCACACTGTCTGTTGGATTACAAATAAAAGGGCTCGGCGTTTAGATGTAGATGTTCAATAATGTATTACTTTTTAAGGAGGGTTGGCAGTTTTTAAAAATTATAATATCTTTACCGTTTGTTGGACTAAAAACCGAGATACCGAGTGAAAGGATATGGTCTCTGCATGTGAAATAAGTTACTATTTTTTGTTTAAGTGGGGTTGCCACCTATTTAAAGATTATTTAATTAATTGCATTTAAAAAATGAGATGTCAAATGAAAAGGCTTGACCTTCACATTTGCAGTAAGGTTTTATTTTTCGAAGAGGGTTGCAACCTGTGCGAAAAATTAAAAAATGTGGGCTGCTCGTTAGATTACAAGAAATGAGGTTTCAAATAAAAGGCCGTGGCCTCCAGATGGGCAATTATATATTATTTTTTTAGTAGGGTTTAGTTATCAATTATACATTATTTAATATCTAAACATTCAGCGCGTGGCGAAGCCTCGCATCTGATAACTTACATATTTATGTAGTTTCCTAAAATTTTTTATTGACTAATTTTTGTATTATTTTTTCCCCCTTTTAATTTCAGTCTAAAAGCACGAGCGAAACCGATTTCGAAAGGGTAAACAACGAATAGAGCACATTTTTGTGTAATGCTAAAAGCATTCAGAGGCATTGATTTAAGGCAACGAATGTTTCACGACCACAGCGCTGACTCTATTGGCTAGCGTAATGATCGACGATTGCCTGCCTGCTTGCTATTGATGCGAATTGAAGAAGAAGAAAAAACTACAAATCAAAAAATTAAAAAATATACATATACATTGAGCGGCTGGTGAGATGTGAAATTGTCATGGCAGCTGCAAGCAAACCTAGAACACACAAAAAACGAGCAATTAACTATTTTTTAACAATATGAATAACGCACATCGTAAATACGTACTTATGTACATATGTATGTATATACGTAAATGCAGTTATACATATGTATGCATATTTTAAAATACCCCAATATATTTGATGTGTCTATGTGAAACTGCCGCCTACTTGTAGGCGGTAGCGAAAAGCTTCGGTGTTAACTCAACTATGTACGTGTTTGAATGTCCAATGGAAACTTCTTGGTGTTCGATAATTAAAATTTTTTTTTGTGTTTTTGATTAATTTAAAGCTATGCATATGTTTCCTTAATTGGTTATTGTTATAATGTGGCTGCAATGCAACATACAAATAAGCAAAAAACATATGTACATACATACATTCTGCACTTGAATGTTGCATGCATACGTCATTAATCAGTTTTTACTCCAAAATGTACAAATAAAGAGATAATTGTTTTTGTTATCAAAAAAAACAAAAAAACATTAAATACAATTACATATTGTATTGCTCCATTGCACAAACAGGTCGATCACAAGGGCTCTGAATGAAGAAGGAGCAACAATAAGAAAAGTCAAATTATCTCCGAATAAATAAAATCAAAAACAAATATACTTATTACTGCCATAAGTCA